GGAGAGAGGATAGAGAAAGACCACAACGATACATAAAACAGACCGAAATAGGCAGCATAAGCAGCCAGGCAACAGCTAGGTAGACAAAACAAAGGCAGAGACCAGAATAGAAAGCATAGCTGATTAACAGAAATCTCTCAAGCAGATCTGAGCACAACTGAACTACGGAATATAACTAGTCCTACCTTCCCAAACCAGTAGCCAATAGCCAGTAACAAATTATATAAAACAATGGTCAGTCACTACCAGGACCCAAAAGGGAGCGCGACAGAAGCCTCGCTGGGTGAAAGAGACCTATAGGAACTCAAATCCATCAATAATCATCAAACTGCGCGCGACCCCGACCGTCCTATTTGGCCCACCGTCAGCCTCTGTCGGCGGCAGCTGACGGTCCCTCCCCTCCCCTCCCTCGTGCTCTGGACGTGAGGCCACGGTCGTGCTGGCGACTCCCCTCGATGGGTGGAGTGCCACCGCCGCCCGCGCCCCACCCACACTGCCGGACGGGTGGCGCGGCCGGCCGTGCTGGCGGCTGGTCCCCGTCCCCACCACAGCGCGGACATACCGGGCAGACAGCGTGCGCTGGATTCACCGCCGTGCGTGCCGTATATTACAAATTCCAACCTCTGTGGTGGTAGATGCATATGAGTGTTGCATCACTGAGTCGGTATTGCAAGGACTCCGGTACACAATAACAGAAACTCGCGTGCGTTTCGGCAAATTGATCAGCTGATATATGTAACATCATGCCGGTCTATCTGTAGGTACTTTCATTTGCAGAACTGACCACAATAGTACGCACTTGTGAAACAGTTCACAACAGTCATCTATTTATAGTCAGCAGTTAGCACACGCCGTAAGCGATTCCACATAAGCCCAGTTGCTAGTAAGGGAGTTCGACTAGTGTTAGTTACGTGTGGGCGTCCCACCCCTGTGGTCGTCGAACTCAGCTCGCGCGTCACAATATTGATCGATTCAGACCGCCCTGCCCAGTCAGCATTAAAGTAGCCGGCCGAGCACTGGACGCGACACAAACACCCTAGAAATGGGAGCTGGAACTGAAACTGGTGTCTTCTGGTGGACGGGGATACGTCCGTATGTTGCAAAGCCAGCAAGCGGGAGGGGAGGAGGGGACATGTCGGTAGCGACGCAAAACCTTCGTCAGGGGGCAAGCCTCTTACATGAATTAAACAGAGTTTAATCACTCAAGAGCAGCGCCTATGGGGAATTCCCAGAATATCCGGCGCACAGTGGGCCAGGCGCATCAAAAAAGCGGAATTAAGTCGAAAATCAACTTCGGTGAAATTCCTGTAATTACGGGATAGAGTATTGTAAAAATGTCCAAAGTTTCCGAATAAGCAAGTTTCCTTTCCCCAATGTCAAGGCAGATAATGCTATAACGTCGCAAAGCAGGACTTACCGACTGGAGATGGAAATGACTGCTGTGTACCATTTTCCGTTCCCCCGATTCAAAAGCTCTCAGCGTAAAATCATTAAAGTTATTCCGTACAAAATAGCTTTAAAAAAACAGCCGGTATTTCTGCGCATGTTTCTCGTACTCAAGTTCCCGGGAACTATTTCATGCTTACTAGTAGCGGTGGGGTTTACAGTGCCTGTTCGGAACCGTGGTAGTGCAACGACGCAATGAATTTATATAAGGATATAAAGAAAACGTCACCGAACAACACGAAGATATTTGCTGCCTGACTTTCCTCAAGGTGTATAGCTTGCTGCCCAATGCAAATATTTTGCGCATTTTTGCGCGAAATGGACAAATAAGGGTTTAACCCTCGCCGGCATAGGCCGTTTTGCATCCCCCGACGGCACAGGGGGATGCGACCCTCCTCGCGTTTGGCCCCTAATTGAGCTAGAGCCTCGCAGAAAAAACCATCGTGTAGGTCGTCACGAGACGAAGCCAACGGTACCCGGTTTTAAGGTCATAGGTCAAATGGTGACCTCTGAGGTCAGGTCAATGGCCGAAAGTCGGGACCTGTTAGAACGTCGTATAGTGTGGCTGCTAAGGGATTTTTCGGGATGCCGATCACGAATATCATGTTAGTTTTGATCACAGATGATGTCTTCATGCATTTAGGCCAGGTCGGGTCAGCTCAGGTCAGGTCAACCAGTATGGGTCCTGCCGGGTATTCGTAGTAGGTGTCAACCCGCCTCTGACAGCTTCGTAACATGTTACGAAGGCACCAAAACTACTTCGTAAATGTTCAAATGGTTCCTAAATTCGAATTCAGCTCCAAAAACTAGCCCAGAAACATGTAAAACTCGAAAAAGTGAACCGAGGTCATCGAAGGTCGATGACCTGACCTGACCTTCAGGTGACCTTTACACCCACCCTAATGCATGGGACCAACATCATATCACATGTTTGAACGCTTGAAACCACGAAAAGACTGCAAACGCGCGGCCAATGCGGCATAGTGCCCGCCTGTCCCAGGCATATGTGCAGCGCAGAAATTAAATAATGACGTCATAGGTCAGTGACCTAGCGTAACCAATCAAATTTGAAAATGGATATCGGATTCGGCTTTAGCATGATATTTTACCCTGTAACGAATCATTTTTGGCACCGCAGCTGTGCTCATTGATTTAATTCCGCTTTTTTGAAGCGCCTGGCCCACTGTGCGGCGGCGTAGCGTGTAAGTATAACAGGCAGCGGTGCGCGGCGCCATCCGTTCCATCCGTTATTGATTGAATAAATACCTCGGCTGGCTCGACCAAACAAAGACTGGACGGTGTGACGTCGGCCCGAGTGAACTAGACGGACGGAGGACCACCGAGGCTGACCGGCGCGACTGCGGCACATAGCCACATCCTGGTCCAGTGTATGGTGAGCTGAGCGCATAGTGGTAACTGTTGAGAGATTGTCGGTAGTAAACAATACGATAGCATGGTTGCTACTGCGGGAGCTGTCAGCCGAAAACGGCGTAAGCATCGCTCAAATTGAGTCCAACGCGTAAGCTCCGCATTACCAATTATGGAAGGACAGAGGCAGCAAAGTGCTGCTAAATAACAAGGCTTCCTAAATATTACTACATAAGGACAAAGGGACAATCCAGGAAAGTAGATCCACGATATAAAAGGAAAGAAATGACGATTCATAAGCCTACAACGCACCTGAAATGGATTACAGCTGGCCATATACACAGTAAGACGGTGAAGTCGGGATCAGCCGTCACGAACTCCGCCCACGCACCTGTATACACTGTAAAAAAAATTCACTAGCTAATTTTGAAATAAGGCATTTTTTACGAGTGCCTCCCTTGCACCTCGTTACAACATATATGGACATTAGTAGTCAGAGCCATGCACGTTAACAATGCCCTTTGTGGAACAAATGCCTACGAGCGAGAGCATGTTCAGGAACCTAATTTTGCGCAATGTTAATGAACTACGCACAGCCTCACAGTGTTACCCGCCGTTGGCTTGTTCTCGGCCAGTTTTTTGGCGTGTCCCTCAATTAGGTCATTTTGCTATTAGCTCAGCTGACGAGGCCCCGGCTGGCACCTACTAAACGGATAACCTTGTGTGCAACCCCGCTTGTTGTCACGAACGCCTGCAGCTGGTAAACGTGCTGGTAAGCTTGCGTGGTAAGCGGCTTCGGATGGCTATGAGGATGTGCCTCATAGCTATCCTCGTCGCATGTTACAACCTAGGAGGCTGTGGCTGCTTTCAGAAGGAGTCCCCCCCCCGCATCCGGGAGCCGGCGTCCATTTTGTGTTGCGTCGCCATTACTGTGTGTGTCTGCCCAACTGCTCTTTGGCTTGATTGAAGGTGAGGCATCTTGTATCATTTGCTGTGTGCTCAACAAAAGGGTTGTCCATTTGTAAACAAAAGTTATTATGTTGTTGAGCTTCTTAGAAGATGTATAGTATCGCATAATGTTGCCCGTCGTTGGCAGAAGTGCGCCGGTATCGTCTATCCAAGTCAGAATAGCTATATGTTTGGGACTTACGCTAGCTTGTGGCAGGAATATATCACTTTATTCAACTTTAATTTAATCATTTTCCAGATTGGTATGCCTTATGATAATAATAATGTTAATATTGTTTTTTTTTCACCCATTACAGACTTCTCTGGTAAAGAATGGGGCCATGTACATATGTCCTGGCCTACCTTCACCCCGCGACTGCCGCCGGTGCAAAGCTAATGAAAAATCGCAAATGTTTGATTGTGGTTATTTAAGAAACCTGATTGCAAATTATTTAGTTAGTTGTTGTTGTTGTTATTGTTTAAGTTATAGTTATTGCCCTGGCGTTGTTATTGTTCTCGTTCTCGTTCTCGTGCCCGAATAAATGAGCTGCAGCGCTACTCAGTCTGTTTACTTGCGGGTGGCGGTCGAGAGTCGGGGGCACTGGTTGACGGAATTCCGTCGACGGAATTCCGTCGACCCAGTGCCTCGACCCCGAAGGCCAGTAGTGGTACTAGTTAACTAGTGCCACTACTGGCCTTGAGCTAGTACCATTACTAGCCTTGGGGGCTAGTACAATTACTGGGTATGGATTAGTAGGCAGTGGCTAGTTACCTTACCAGGCAGGGGCTATTATGACACCTAGTAGACGCACTACCCACGCTAGTTACGTGCGTGTTGTCAAACTAGGTGGAGCACGGTGGTCGTATGCATACGAGGCACAGCCTTGTCGAACAAGCTTGTTACTCGGCAACTAGCCTAAAATTAGCCAAATTTACACGCTCCTGCAATGTTATTTTTGCGCTGAGAATTCCTCTACGAGGGGCTTGTAAGTTTTTTTTACAGTGTACTGCGATCGTGAAAGGCCGCGAAAGGACTTAATCGTAGCTAAGCAGGGTAGCAGCTATCGTCGCCCGACTGTTCAGCCCTTCCTCAAACAGCTTAGTCCGTAGGGGTTGCAGACACGTCAGATGCCTCGCCCAAAGGGCTGCATACATGACGAAGGTCGGATGCCCCACCCACTCAGCCTGAGCTCAGCCCTAGCTCACACCTAGCTCACGTGGTGAGCAATAGCACTAACCTCTGACTGATCCGGGCTCGGCTCCGTGGGTTCCGGCCGCTCCTCGTTCTCAACACACCCCGCCTCGTCAGTCGGAAGGTCCTCCAGCGATGCCTCCATGGTGGTAGAAAAACACTGCCGCACAACGGCTGCCGAGCCGGCGACAGGCTGACCCCAGAATGACCTCCGGCTGGAGTCAGACCTTCTGGAGACCTCTGCCTGGCGCCTGACCTCTGTTTGACCACCACCCTGTCGGTGTTGTGATGACTTCACCAGATCACAGTCCCGCCGTGGCGTGATAGGTGGCTGAGATCACCATCCTCGGCGGCGGCGGACATCCAAAGGTCAGGTCAGCGGTCGAGCTTATCCGCCTCCACGGTAAAGTGACAATGCTTGCGGTAACTAGCCGTCACTGCTCGTGTCCGGTGTCAAACAGTACCCAGTTATGGGCGGCGCTGCCCCTGCTAGATCACACGGTAACACCAAATGAACAGAAGTCCTGGTCCTGGCAATAGCCGACGCTTCACATGAGCTCTCTTGGTTCCGGCGGTGGTTCTCTGACGGTAGTTGCCACTTGACTGTCGTGCTCCTGGCCGGTTCTGCAGCCCACAATTAACTGTTGCTCCCGACTTCGACAATAGCCGTTCGAGGCTCAGACAGCCACCAACTCCGAGCCGTAGACACTGAGCTGACCTTCAGTCTGTCAGTCGCCGTCATCCAGTCACGATCCGCTGACCCCAGAAAACCGTCACACTGGGCGCCGATCAGTCCTTCAGCCTTTGTCCGGCCTCCGGGCCACGCCCCGACCAACGCAGTTTGTGCAACGACGCGTACGCGAACCGTTCTTCGTCCTCCAATCACACATCACCGAGTGAACTTGTCAAATCTGCACCAAACTCCGGAGTTCAGACCTTCCCCCGCCGGTCCTCCGGCCGCCTGCGCACGACTCCGGGAAGGAGGCGGACTCACCGCTCGCGGCCCCACCCACACCCACCACCACCACAGCTGTCACCACAACCGTCGGTGCGTTGTTGTCGCGAGCGACACGACCGCCGCCGGCGTCGCCGAACCGACTGGCCGGCGTCCAGTCGGCGCCGTGGAGCCCTTTGGCCAGATCGATGTGTGTCGTCCGACAGCGGCGGCAGGGGCGGTGGCGGCGCCGGCGGGCCGCCCGGCGCAGCCCTGAGTCACCGAGGCTGCCAGGGCCGGTCAGTTTAGTAGAAGTTGGTTCTGTTTGACCCCCGACTGCTCGAGACCCCGCCCTGAGTTCCGACAACACCTCGAACCCTGACCGGCGCGGGAACCACCGACCTCCACCATCCTAAATCCCAGTTTCCAGTGAGGTCAGGTCAGCGCCGCCTCCGTAGCTACGGCCCGGCCCGCCCCGTCGGGACGGCCTCTGTTACGCCGGGGCCGTGCAAATGCAAATAAGCGGCGTGTCAGCTCTGTCAGCGCGCGACCTGGGTGGCGGTGGCGGCGGAACGGACGGAGCGCTGCTCCAGTTGGGACGCTGAGGTCATACCGAGATTTGAGAGGCCGTGAGTTCTTGTTAAAACTGAGCTTATCACAGCTATAGATATCACAGCTATAGGTAGAATAGAACATATGTGCAAGCATCACAGCATTCTCACGTCTTCTAGAGAGGACTGGGATATCTGGTGGGAAGTACAGAAAAGAGCAGCCCGAGCCCATGCTATAAATAGTTACAGCGCTCTTGAACGGCGATACTCCATGAATCGCGTCAGTCGTAACATAAAATGGCCATATTTCATCTCAAATAGCAGGCGCAGCCCTTCGGAAAAGCCAGGGCGGCTGAGTGATGGCCATGGGAGCGTCCACCTGGTAGGTAAGGCATTCAAAGGATCGGTCAGACTCAGATATCGACGAGCTCGAATGTTCTGCAAGATTCACTGCCGATATTGTAATGCCAAACGTACCGATAAATAATGCCAAACCTTGAACGGCGTCAATAAAAGTAGCACGGCATATGCGGAGGCTAATTATCGATGAATAGAATCCCACCGTTTATTGATCGCAAAGCAGATAGAAAAGGGCTCACCAGTCAAGGATAAAGGGTGCTGCTAGAACATGGCCAGAAACATATTCAGTGTGGTAGACTAATGCAGCGGTCTATGTTCCCATATCGCTGGTTCAGAGGGGCTCGAGTTCCGATGTTATTGAGTCTATCACCATAAAACTGTGATTCATGGTGGGGCTTACATGCAAGCGGCGCCCATGACCTTTGCACGAGCTATTTATGAAGGACGTAATCTCGTGCTTGAGACCAAATAAAGCACAAGACTGCAGATAAAACGAAATGGAGAATAAAACGAAGGATCTGGATATCGTCGCGAGTTTGCGAAAGACTCTTTTTATCAGAAAGCTTACGTGGCATAGATATACGAAATGTGTGTCGAAAGGCAATCGAGACATCCCAACGGAGATCAACTACCAGATGCCTGATTCAAGTCTGATCAATGCCAGAATGAGGAGAAGGATGAAGCAAGCATTACAGTCAAATAATTACGGTATTATATCAGAGCTTGCCGCTCTACAAATCCACTAACTAGCAACGAGAACGACTGCAAATCGCGAGCGGCCCGGCCCTCAAACTTCACTAAATCGTCGGTAGATGGCTCTAGCGGCGGTATCGCTCTGGTGGTGGCGCCACCTTAGCTGTTCGGCCGTCGTGTCGGTGACAGCAACAGGTCAGGTACGACACACTACACACAAGATGAAGAGGAAAGACTGGTAGAGCCAAAAGCAGACATTCGGCCATCCACTGGCGATGAGGGCTGTTGAGGAGAGGGCCGAGAGAGGTGGGGAGAGAAGGAGAGGACGAGAGAGGGGGGGGGCAGGGAGAAGAGACAGAGGCAACGAGAGGAATGACACGGTGTCTGGGAGACACCCGTTAGAAGTGTCACCCGCTAAGGTCACAGGTTGGATGGAGGAGAGGGTTGAGAAAGGGAGATAGGGGGAATAAAGCGGTACTTACCGTCAGCTGACCGCTGGCCCCGGGGACAGAGAGGATGGACAGCGCCGAGACGCAGAGAGAGGAAGGGAGCGAGACACACACAGCGGTACTCACCGTCAGCTGACCGCTGGCGCCGGGGACGGAAGGAATGGACAGCGCCGAGCCCATCTCGGGTCCCTGGGCGCCGGCTGTCTCTGACTGGAAGATGGAGTCGTGAGACATGCTGAGACGCGACTGGAGCGGTGGAGAGCCGCGCCGGGATGGCCTGCAGAGAGGGGAGGGGCGTCAGGAGGGCAGAGCCACCCGACAGGACCGGTGGGGCAGCGCTTTAAAATCTTCGGCGATTTATAATCAAACACCCTCCAGCTCATTCCAATATAAAACATAGATGGTACCTGCTTGAGTAAAGTATTTCATCCACAAGCGCCAAGCAAGAAGCAAAGGAGGGCTGTTGCACACGTCCTGACCTCTACCGGGCGGCCATGAAGGTCGGGCTGACAGCAGAATTTAGGGTACGACCGTTTCAACGTAGGACGCTGTCCACACCGATATTTATCTGGCCCGTAACCCGTCCGCTGTCACTGACCTCAAACTAGCTTGGCAAGAGCAGCTAGCGAGCGCCGAACCATAGCCTTCTTTATGCTGGGAAACCTCGCCAGCAATCAGCATGCAAGTAACATCCTCCACGTCCACCCAATTAAGTAAAATTCGCAAAGTTCGTACAGTATCTCGAAAGTAGTGAACAAAAACAAGGCACTTTCTCACCAGGATCATTGTTTTCCTACTATCTCTGTCCTCTATTTAGTATTCTAGGCAGAACTTCTGACTTCACCACATCCACAAACACCACCCGGCAAAGAACTGAAGCTGATGTTCTACCACCGACCGCTAGATGTCAGGGTGTACCCACCACAGTCTGATTTTGGCCGGCGGCCAGCAGTCTCGCCGATCAGCGACCCTCCCCTCCCCCTCGGACCGAGCAGTTACCTCCGCAGACCCGCCGGCGGCATCTGACCAGCTGAGAGCGGCGCTGGGTCCGGAAACTCGCCATCCTCTTTGGTTTTGCTCTTACGCCGGAACATCCTCTGAAGTTTCTTCAGCGGCTGGAAGCGCTTCCACCGCGCGCCTGTGGGGGAGGGCTGGGTCAGCAATGCCACGTGGACGGAGTGTAGGGTGACAGTGGTCCCCTCCCTCCGCCCCCCCCCCCCACCCGCCGGGAGGCCCGGGTGGCTCAAATGTCACCACCCCCGCGGGGCCCCGGGGCCCCGGTGAGCTGACCGGGGCCCCGGTCAGCTCAGCGGCAGGAATGTGCGACCGTATGCAGTTCAGCCGACACGGCGGTGGTTCAGAGCGTGCTGCGCCATGCCACTACGCCACGCCGCACGGCTGCGGTCCAACTCCCATCCCACTGCCCCAATATCAGTGTGTCATTTGGGCGCTGAGGGCCGCCGGGAATCTCTCAGCGTTCAGCTGGAGTGGCCGCGTCGGCCGACGGGCCGGCCGGCCGGCGCGCCGAGGCGCCCGTTATTCTCATCTGATAGGCGTCGAGCCGTGACCGGCCGCCGCTGGCGTAACGAGCGTCACGTGACGTCACGGAGCGTGATACCGTGACGTGACGTCGCCGGCTAAAATAGTGCCGTGATTACGGGCCCGGCGGACCGCCGTGGTTTGTTTATTTGGCAGCACATCACCGCGGCTCGAGTCAGTGGCAGTTGACACGGCACCGACCCGTGTCCGACCACAAACGGACAGAGCTGTGACGAGCCGGTGATTACCACGTGTCATAACAAACCAACAGACGCGTCACACTTTTAAATGCCGCAAGGCCGAAATTTCAGCAATAATTTCACAAATAGGCACGCATTGTGTGCTGAAACGGACCGATTTATTGCACCGAGTGAATTCAATCAAGAAAGTATTCTGCTGTAACCAATAATTCATAAAGCACACTGGCAAATGGAATGCAGCAGTTTTCTACCTCATTTGACTTTTCCCCACCCATGCCCCATGCCCATACCCAGCCATGTCATTGTCTCCATCTCCCCCTCCTCCTCCTCCTCCTCCTCCTCCTCCTCCTCCTCCTCCTCCTCCTCCTCCTCCTCCTCCTCCTCCTCCTCCTCCTCCTCCTCCTCCTCCTCCTCCTCCTCCTCCTCCCTCCTCCTCCTCCTCCTCTCTCTCTCTACCTCCCTCCCTCTCTCTCTCTCTCTCCTCTCCCGCTATCTCACCAGGCGTCTCCGGGCCGACCATCTGGTCGGGACGGATGTTGTGAGGAAGTGACATGGCCTGTCGCGGCCCAGCGCCCGGCAGACCGGCCGGTATACGGGTCTCCTCGTCACCGGACATGGCGGGTCGCCAACAGGTCACCAGTGGGTCACTCAGGTCACCGACCACTGGTCACCAGTCACTGAGAAACATGTGGAGTCTGAAACAGAAGAGAAGGCGTCGTCAGACCGTCGTTTTAGATATTTGAAGCGGCGGTGCACCGTTGCGCTAATGTAGTTCGATTCGATGGCAGATAAGATGAGACACCCAGCGTCTCGCAGGCGGCACCGGAGACCATCAAAGGATGGCCAGCACCGGACATCGGACACCGCACACCGGTCAGTACCGGACAGGTCACAGAGGTCACACTGCACGTGCAGTGTGCAGTGGGTGCACTCTGTGACATTGGTGTGTGCAGCCTGCAACCCACGTCACAGGCAGCACAGCATACGTCGAACTGACAACAAGGAACACCGCACACTACAGGTAAGGTCCACATGCCACACACAGAATTGTTGCAGAACACATCACATCGGCATGTCACACGTCACGTAGAAGACACAGCACCGTACCTTTCACACCGATGTCACAAATGACACTCAAGATGCCTTTCCCACATCACACTGACGATTCACATCACACAGACGGCACCCGTCCCAGCACAGGCAGCTCGTCCCCGACAGACGCGGCGGGCTGCGGCCTGTCACACTACACACCGATACACACCTGTACCGACCCCACGGCCCCGGCCACAGCCTGAGGGGAGGGTACCGAGTATGTGGTGAGTCACACAACTGAGCTGACACCAGAGGTGTAACCTGGCGAGGGTGGCCAGCATA